CCTTCTAGTCTTGGTTCTATCACCTGTGGGCATTCTTGAAGCCTTGGCATAGCTACTTAAGAAAAGACTTCAAGGTCAGGGGTCTGACGGCATGTAGTTTGTCACGCTTTTAATCCCAGCGCTCAGGAGACAGAGGCAGGTGGACTTCTGTGAGTTCCAGGCCACCCTGATCTGCACGGCAAGTTTCAGGTCAGCCAGGGACATACAGTGAGCGCTTCTTTCAAGTATAAATAAATAAATAAATAAATAAATAAATAAATAAATAAAAGAAACAAGACTTCAAATCAAAGATGATGTGAGGAAATTCGAGATAATAATGGAAGCAATTCTTTTCAACTTTGTACTTCTCCTGGCTCCCCATCCTCATTCTCTGCTAAGCTTCTTGGCTAAATGCAAGCGTCTGATTTCTCCCAAGTTTTAGTCTTGGCTGTCTCAGTAGTGTGTATGCACATACATATAAACCATATATATCTGCCCTATGCATGCAGCCATATCTGATCTTTTCTTTAAGCCCATAACCCTTCTTAAGGATTTTTAGCATAATACTCTGAGCTATGAGATGCTGTGGGGCCTCCCACCGGGGCAGAAAACAGAGGGAGTGTTGTCTGATGATTTCCAGTTAGGCCTAGAACCCAAGGCCTATCCACCACGTGGCAGCTGTGTCCTTTGCCTGACCCTGACTGACGTGTGTGGCTCTTGGCTTCCTTACCTGTAAAGAAGGAATTCTACCTTAGCTACAGGCACCGGAAGTTGGTGGGTTATGAATAGTGTGCTTGATAAGGCAGGCTTTGAAAAGGGCCACAAGGGTCCATCTGTCCTTGAATCCAAGGGACTTTTTTTTTTCTTTTAAATGTGACTTTGTAACTTCTCCCATTAAGAAGTGTGGTCTATTTCTCCATCCCCTGAGTTAGAAGTGGCCCCCCTGACTTGTTGTTAAAAGCACATACGTTGAAAAAAATGAGTTGATTCAACTGAGCCTAGGCCTTAAAGGGCCTTGCTTCCCTCTTCCTCCTGAAGCCATGGAGAGACACAGGTGGGCAGTCTGTGAGCCACTGAGCTCAGCCTCAGGTGCTCCCCAGGTGACTCAGTGGACAGTCAGCTGAAACCCAGAGGCAGTACGGTCTGGTGAGCACGGACACACGAAAGAGCTTGGACAAGACTCACCCAGCTGAAGTCAGCCCAAACTGCTGACCTCCAGGGTCATAAACTCAACAAGCAGTGGTTATTTTAGTGGTTATTGTATGTTTGTTACCAACATGTGTTAATAATCCTGGGGTCATTTGTTACACAGCAACAGATAACAAACGCTGTAGGTACGAGCAGTTTTTCAATAAACAGAGGCTAATTATACCTTAGGGCAAAGGTTAATTGAAAATGGGATTTTGGTACCCTCAAATTTATGCTGGTTAGTCATTGGTTAGTCATGACTGTAGCAGAAAGAACTAAGAACCAAGACTCAAATTCTGGACTTAGCGGGCAGCTGTATGAATGTCCATAGCATCATTAGACAAACTCTTGTTCTCCTTTCGTTTTTTTCCTCAACTAAAAATTATTTAGAACAAGTGACTCTTTGAGTTTCTTTTTTTTTTTCAAAAACACTTTCCTAAAAGGCAGTTCTGAAATCTGATAGTAATAACAAGAGCAATAATCTTATTATTTGATAGTTTAAGCACAAACTTCCCTGAATTCTTTGCTGGTTCACAGTGGGCTGTGACTAAAACATCTCACTGTTATCACAGTGGCCACACACCGAACCCCCGGGGTGGAGTCTCTCTGTGGACTGTGAACCCGAAGAGCTAAGCTCATCTGAGATTGGCGAGGAACCAACCTTGTAGCACGCCAATGATTTACAGGTGGAAGGCAGCGTTTGCTGGTTCACTTCTGGGTTGCTGCACATGTTTGGGAGAAGCGATAATGGCCGGCAGTGTAGTCATTTAAACAAGAAGGATACTGTTTTATAGACCAGGTTAGGCACTCAGTCATTAGATGGGCTAGGGGTGGCATGGAGAACAACTAGATGAAAAGGAATTTCAGAGTTCTTTTTCATCGCAGTACTCTCTGTGACTAGTGAACAGAGAATTAAAAAAAAAAGGTACACCAATACAAATTGTGTGCACCTGGGAGTCAGCTTCTAAGAGGATTCCCCTCTCCAGTACGAGATGTTTTTTTCATAGACCATTAATACTCTTCCAAACACAGGCTGTTTTTTTGCTTTGTGACACAGAGAAGGCCATGTTCAGGCCAACTTGGACATTAAACAAGCCAAAGTCGGGAGAAGTTCATCCCAGCAGGAGTTTAAGGTACATGAGAAAGGGTCTCCGTGAGGCAACAGCTTATCTTCACTCTGCCTGAACACTTCAAAGGCTACATAAGGAAGCAATAAGTTGCTAAAAATATGAACACCATAATCTCATTAACCCTCCTTCTAAGATGGGAAACAAGCTATGTGAAGCTCAGGGTAACTGTGCCTGCCAGGAGGAGCACGGTATTGAAACAGGGCTTATGTTTACCAGCCTGGGGTGGGGGACTTATTTGGATGGCTTGCAAGCTAACATTGAAGACCAGAGTCATTGAAACTTTGTTACAGCTAAGATTGTAGGCACCTAAACAGCTTCTCCATTGTGTCCCTTCTCTGCTCTTCTGTGAATTCTGGTAGCGGCTGCCCTCGGCCGTGTTTGTATATTCCCTCATTCCATCCTTCTCTCTGCAGCCAAAGTAAACTTTCAAGAACAGATATGTGCCTTACTTCAAACTCTTCAAAGGTTTGTCCCAAGATGAGATTCTTGAGGCAGCAGCTGTCTGTGTCCCTAGCACCCTGCCCACTGTCCGGAGTCAGTGGGTTCACACATGTGTGTGGTCTCTAAGGGTAGGTCAGAGTTCACTGGATTTTAGAGAAACACCTGCATGCTGACTAGCGCTCATTGCTCATGGTAAAGTGTCAGACACCATATTAACCAAGCTGCAGACAGGGATTTCTCCATGCCTGTCCTCCTCTAGGATAACCCAGTCAGCTCTTGCCAATTCTTCTTTTCTGAATTATTTAGGGAGACTATCTAACTAGACAACCACTCTAAAGATGAAATCAGAAACAAAAGCATGAACCCGACAGAGCCCAAAGATTGAGGGCCCCTGGGAAAGGGTAGAATTTGGAACATGTGAGACACTGTTTAGGGAGAGGAAGCTAGCTCCGAGGTTAGTATAGAGTTATTAGAAAACCGGGGTCCGTTCCAAGAAACCCAGGCAATGAGCTTCCGGGGGCACCTCTCCTCCAGGCAGTTCTGAGTGGAAAGGGGTTGGTCCCTGCTTTGCGCCTGCGCTGAGGACTGGGTCCTGAAAACAGCTTAGTTTCTGAGAAGTGCTGGGTCAGAAGTGAGGAGCTCCTTCCATTTTTAGGAAAGAGTACATGCTCAAGCGATAAGCAAGTTTTTGTTTCGTTTTAAATTCCAGGTGCGTAAAATCTCCTTGGAATGTGGTGAACACGGGCCGCACTTAAATTTAGACATTATTCAATATCAAACTCTTCACTAACAATGCGATTCTGGGGACACAAAAACTTTATTTGTCGAATAAGTGAAGGAACAGGATCACAAGGTGGGCAGAAAGGGTGAGCATCAGAAATGAACCACAAGTCACGGTCCTGGATATCACCCATTTCTGCTCAGTAAGCCTCGGAGCTGGCTGTATACTGAGGTTTCACACTCTGGAGAAACATAAGCAATCCAGCCCTCTCCTTAATGACGGGAGCTCCTTATCGTTGTTCATAGAGACATGGATTTTTACCTAAGGGGCTTGCGCGGTGTATCAGGGATACTGGTGCTTAGATGTAGAGGGCTACTGTATCCTTCTTAAAATAGTATTAACTGGGAAATTGTATGGAAGGAAAAACTTCAGCAAATATAGAACGTACCACCGCTAAAAACAACTACTCTCATTTCTTTCCCATCTACTTTACAGGTTTTTCTTTTCTCCAGCAATTATTCTTCACTATATCTACGTTACAATCACCGAAAGCATCCGTCCTCAAGGTACCACCACCACCACCACCACCACAACGTTCACATTAAACAGTGTCAGGGAGACACAAACACCATTTCTTTTCATCTGAAGCGTCTCCCCAAACACCCACTTCCTCTACATTCATCGCGCAAGTCTCTATACCACGATGGAAAAGAAAACGTTCTGAGTCACTGGAGATGGAGTTATTTTGTTTTGCTTTTAAGGTTAATTACGGTCCCGGGAGGGATAAAAGCCCCGCTCATATCTGTCCGGTATCCCTGGGAAATCCTTCATTGGCGATTTTTATGAAAATGGCACTTCATCAAGATTCTCCAGGCCACGGAGACCCAGGTGACCGACCTGGGAGACGCTTGCCTATTAAATATTTACAGCGTGCGACCATTTAACCGTTTGCATCTGGCGCCCACTCTCCTAGACCCAGGCTCTTGCGGAGCACCGCAGTGTCGCCGTCCCTCCAAGCACCCTCGCCATCTCCTTAGACCCCATCCCAGAACCCAAGGGCTCTTCAAAGAAAGGGCGCGCGGGGCAAGGGCGCACGGGGCGGGGGTAGGTGGGTGGAGGACAGTCAAATGTTCTTTCCCGATTTATTTCTTAAAAGACCCACATGCTTATATTATATATGGTGAACCCCAACACAGGCAGATGGGAAAATCTCTTGCAATCTGTCCAGTTTAAGTTCCCAGGCACGGCTGAGAGTTCATGAATTGGGAGTTTAAAAACAAACCATTTTACACAGCCAGCACGGGTGCCTTTATTTTGGGGACCTGAACCGTGTCGTCCGCCTCTCTTCCCGCGCCTTGATTGAATTCCGTGACTTTCCCTGAACTCATCAAACCCTGGGTTGCCTCGTCTCGTTTCTCGCCGCGTCCCTCCAAGAGAAGGGGAACCAAGAAGAGCGACCGAGTAACGAAGCAGGGACTCCCGCTCAGGACCAAACCTCCTCCCCCGAAGCAGAGCCCGGTGCTGGCCGGGGTGCTGCTTACCTGAGGCGGGGCGGCGTCTCCAGGGTCGGGGCGCCCATGGCTTCGCGGGCCTCGGGCGTCCGCGCTGGGACACGCGAGTGGGTCAGTGCCTCCCGGAGCCCTCCGCGCTGCTGCAGCCGGGCCGCGGTCATTGGGCCGGTGCGTCACGTGGGCGGGCAGCGAGCGAGCCTCCCAGCCCCGGGTAACCCTTTACCTGCGCCTGGCCGGTAGCGCAGGCTGCAGGGACGAGGGGACGTCCCGTGATCCAGGCTTGAGTGAGGGGTCAGCGAAGCAACCGGCATTAGCTGCCAGATCGAGCGCGCACCGCTTGTCGCCTGCCTAATGGCTAGACAAACAGCCAGGACGCCTCTGCGATGGTCATTTCCAGGGACTACCCGCTTGCCTGCGTCCTAAAGGCTATCCTGGGAGGAGTGGAAGAACCCCAGTTCCAGACCTTTTCCCTTGGGATATCAGGATGTGCGACGCTCCATCAAACGCACGGAGCTTTACCTGTGATGGGTGGAGAATCGGTGGCTTAATCCTGAAATTCGGTTTAAGTTTTGGGTCTTCTTTCCACCTGGCCCAGAAGCTGTGGAGTTTGCCGGAAAAATGTGTTGAGCAACTGCGCCATCTAGCTTACTCGCTTTCCTCTCCATGTTCCACCGCTTGCAGGGAGATGGGATAAAATGCGATGCTGAAGGAGGAACTGGGCAGACCTCTGAAAGCCCTAAGACCCTTGGTTTCTCAGTGTTTGCATTTGAGATGCCCTCTGCCTTCACAGGCATTTTCTACTCTCTGTGGGAGAACATTTAATGTTGTTTGTGTGGGGGGAGTCCATTCTCGTACTAAAATAGTTGTGCACTTTTAAATGGTAGATGGATGACTGAATTTATACGTTGTTAAATGTTATTTGTTTGATTTGAAGAAAAATATTCTTGTCACAGTAAGTGACACTCAGGTTAAATATCCAACCTTGTCAGAAATTTTCGTGGGATACTGGTCCATTTATAAACGTATTAGACTATTCTGATAAAAAAAAAGACTTTGGAATTTGTCTTGGGTTTTTGAGTCAGTGGGGAGAAACTTCGAGGTTCACTCCAGCCAGAAAGAAATGAGGGTAAGGAACTTGATAATGTATTTAGTTTTCTTTTAAACGTTGGATTTTGAGGTTTTGAGAGTATGTTGAGAACTACATACACGGTTTCATCTGATTATAGTATACAATGTTGAAGATTTCTGATACTGCCATGTTTAAAGATATCCTTTTTTGTTGGTGTGTATAGGAATTCTCAGACGCGCGCGCGCGCGCGTGTGTGTGTGTGTGTGTGTGTGTGTGTAACACGGTATCTCAGAAGGTTCTCTTAAGTCTTTCTCACTCACCTTGGAATTTATGAGTGGTTCTAGTCCTTGACAACCATCTTTCCATGCTCCAGCCACAAGAAGAAGTTGTGTGTCCTTTCAGATGTATGCAAAGCACTTATTTTCTCCCTGTTTTCTTGTTGCATCTGAAATTCTAGCAGGCAAGAGCTATTTTATTTACCTCTGTGTTCTTGGTGAAATTTGTGAGTAGGTAAATATTTGCCAATTGAATTCATCAACTATCTCCATATACTGGAGAAAAGGAAAAAATAAATCACAAAACAAACTCAGGCATTTCTGGTAACTTCCAGTGACCTTTAACAAAGTAACTGAATCTCACACCTGCAAATTAGTAAATATCTTAGAAGTTACTGTCAAAGTGACTACTGGGTATCAACTTCTTTATTTTAATGTGCTTTTAAAAAGTTACCAAAGATGTGGTGATCCACTGGAGTCACATCCACAGTCCTTTCTGTCTAAACATATATATATAATAATGCATATTATATAATATATAATATATGATATATGATATATGATATATGATATATAATATATAATATATTATTACTCCTATAAATGTGGAGTAGTAATACCAAACTCACAAGGCTAAGGTGTTAGGTGACATGGCTTTGTGCCTGGAAACTCCCAAAACAATCCTAGCATACCTTTGGTAAATTTGAATAATTACTGGTACTTGAGGTCTTCTACTTCTGGCCAACCTCAGCGGTGAAAAACTAAACAGCACTCAAACCTAAGTAGCTCATCTTTTATTCATACAAACGATACATACACAAGACTGTATATTGTTTGAACACTGGAATAAGTTTCTAGTGTAACAACTCTGTAACAAAATTTGACTAAATGAAACATTTATGAAAATATAAATCTCTGATTGGGTAATTCATCCCAACGATACAAAGTTTACATAAAAACATTCAATATGAGCTATCAGTTGCAAACAGGTTAGGAAAAAAATCATTCAGGCCACTTGATGTACTCTATTGGCTTTTGCACAGAACATTCACACACTACATTTAATCCATCTAGGCATTTAATTCTTAGAGATGTATGGCATGGAGGATCAACCGGTAATGACAGCAATAAGAATATGTTGGCTGAAGAGCTAATAGTAAGGACTCCAGATGATGGGTATATGGATCTTAGCCCTCCCTGGGCTTCCACCTACTGGCTGGTAGCTACACTAGGAGGGGCACACTGAAGCAAGTGTTTTCCACATGGGTAGGCTGTTGATATCTGAGTGACGCCTTCAAACGCTTGCATGTTAAATCCCTTCACAGGGGAAAAACAATTGACTTGGATTCTCTATGGGTTTAGATAATTTTCGTTTTCCCGTTGTGTCAGCAATCGGTAGGTCACAGCTGTGACATGTTTCTCATATTACTCCCAGAATCCCCACCAGGCGTACAGGCTGTAGCAGAACCCATCACCTCCTTTATTTTGCAGTCCACAGAAACAATTCAGTGGTGGGGTTAAGGATCAGGCTATAGGTGCGTGATGAGTTCGCAGCAGAGCTGGGATGAAAATAAGCCGGTTCCTTGTTCGCTGTTCTGACTTAAGCAGCTTCTACTTTCAAAGAAAATCAAACCAGCCACTGCTGGTGACTCCCTTCAAAGTTCTTCCACAACATGTCATGTGGAGGACATGGAAGGAAGAACATTACTTTCACTTCCTGAGACACATTTTCCTTCAGATTGGTAAGGTTGGTAAGGTTTTTTTTTTTTGTTTGTTTGTTTGTTTTTAAAACATATACCATTTCAGAGTTTCTGCTTTGAAATGGCAAGACCAGGAAAGTCCTCCGGTTTGGAAGTGGAGCGGATAAAGAAGCATACATACAGTGTATAGAAGTAAGAAAGTGATTACAAACAGGGCTGAGAAGAACCTTTGGACACCCTTAAGATGTACGGACTGTTTTAGCACAGAGACAGGCATATTCAGTATGTCCCAGGGTATTGGGTCGTTTATCTGCACGTCACACAGGAGAGAGGACGGATGAGAGTAAGGCAATGTCGTCAGTAGTTCAGAGATGGCGTGTTTCAAAAGCTCGCTTTCTAGTAAGAGATACTGCAGGGGTCTGGGAAGTAACTTGGGTTTCCCAGCAGCTGACTGAAGAGCACAGACTCTTGCCAGTAGAATGAAAGAAATGAGCAGGTGTTTCAGCCAAGTTTGTGATGCCCTTTCTGTAATTCTTTACGCTCAGCACACAAAAACGCATCTCAGGAAAAGGTGTGAAAAGATTGCGGTTTCTTATCAAGTGGGTTCTCTTGCAATCCAAGACAGAAACAGGTTAAAAATGATATATTCCATTACACAGAAACCTGGGCATGCAGTCGTGGTGTGTTTTAGTAAAGACTGACTCCTCATGTTCAATAGCCCTATAATAGTGGTAGTTAGATATTGTCCCAGTCTGCTCACCATCACATGTTTATGTGGCGACTTGGGAAACTGGAACACATCTGGACATCTTTCTTACACACATTTGCACCGTTAGACCTCTTGTGTGCAGACGAGGGTTACACAGTTGTCAGGAGTGAGAAGCGTAAAGAGAGATTAAGGCCGCAGTTTGCTATGACACCGCCATGCAGAGCCAGAGAGCTCCCTGTTCTCACGACTCCAGCTGGCTTCTGTGGAACTGATTCCAGTCCAACAGCTCTAGTTTCTCTCCTCTGCATCAGTGGAGTGAATTGTGCTAACTCTTATTACACAGCTAACTTAAAAGACTCGAACCTCTCTCTTCTGGCCATTTTACTATCACATAGAGAAGTTCTCTATTTGCTTAATACATTTGGACTGAAAGATGGCACCCGAGTTGAGTCTCATAGTTCTGTTCTTCTTATGAGGGTATTAGTAATTGAGAGTTCCAGATCTTCCCTGCCTTTAAGAAATAAGCAGCTTATCATTTATGATGCAGAAGACGCACTTTGCTTTTTTTTTCCTGTTGTATGTGGATTATGTATTTCAGTTGAGCAGGATAAACATCACATCAGTTATCTGGCGTATAACTGTGGCCTCGGGATTCTAGGGCAGCACACACCCGGTCGTAACACGAGTTGTGTTTCTTGGAGGGTGTTGCCTCATTGGACTCTGAGGAGTCACTCACTGTGATGGGGCTGTCTCTTGCAAAGACCTCAGTGGACTCTCTCCAGAGGCAGTCCACAGACACTTTGAAGGAGTAGCTGCTCGACTTTGGCCTGGATGTCTGTGTTGCATTGTTGAAGATCTGCCTGCTGTTGGAGGTGGCAATTTTGATTTTCAGCGCGGCATCTACGCGGTCCACAACCGTGTATATCCCTATACTCCCATCGTCGAAGCCGACAATGATGTTCAGGTGTCTCTGGGAGAGTGCCAGGAAAGTTGGTGTTTTGTAAAGGGAGCAAGCACCGATGTTTTTGCCATCAGCCAGTCTCATTACGATTAAGCTAGATACCGCATCATTTTCCTCTTCCTCCTCTTCCCCATTCCGGAAACAAATATATACCAGGTAGCGACCATCTCGAGAGAGTCTCTGCCTCCAGATGACCCCAGAGGCGTGAACCACCCGCAATTTTCCACTGTGTAAATCTAGCACATTGATATTTTCATCTCCCCGGGATATAATGCCTAGCTTCCCATTGGGAGAAATTTCAAAATCCTCCAGGTTTTTCAAGAAGTTGCTTGGAAGCTGCACACGTCGACAGATCACTTCGTCGGTCAGACTCCAGATGTTTACCGTCTCAGCAGACGTGATAAACACGATAATGTCAGGGCAGTCGGGGATCAACTTAAAATTCACAATGGTGATCCCATCCTCGCAGCAAAATTTCTTGGTGATGCTCCCTGTCCAGAGACTGACTGCCAACACTTTGCTTTTCGTCATTCCTACCACGAAGGTGTTTGCAGAGGTGATAAAGGCGTTTTGCAATGTGGTCAAGATGTTGCAGACCCTGTGGCCCGTGGCCAGTCTCCAAACCCTGGAGGCATTTTCCTCACAGAGCGAGACCACAAACTGGTCATTATGTGTAATCAGCAGCTGAGATATCCTCTGCCCGTTGATTCGGAAGAGGTTTTCCCCGCTGCTGGTGTGCCAGACGTACTGGCTGCTTTTGTCGTCCGATGTCACCATTATGTCTCCAGCGGATGTTAACACACAATGTTCAACTATTCCTTCGTGCTTAAATACTGCTTCAATGAACCCGCTGCTGAAGTTCCACTTGTGGACGCAGTCCGAGCCATCCAGAGAGTAGATGATTTCCCCTCTGGTAGGCAGCACCAGACTCTGGATGGGCTTTCCTGTTTTATCTATGTTGGACATAGCTGTGATTATGTCGATATCCCAAATGGAAAGAACCCCGCTGGTTGACAAAGACAGGAGCATATTGTGGTGACTAGATTTTACCAACTTAACTATGGTACCTGAGATTTCCTGCAGGCTTGCCATGCACTGGCCCGTGTCCCGCCTCCAGAAGAACACGGCTGGGGTGCTCTCCATGGTGGCAATGATGCAATCTCCATTTTTGGAGAGCACGGCGGATATAAATCGCTCATTGTGCCTGGCCCTGAACTTCTCAGCTACCTTCCACATGCCAGTGTCCAAGAGTTCAATGCTCAGTGCTTTACAGATCAGAAT